TAATGTATAAACTAATGTTTTTTTTGTTTCTCTTTATTTCAATTTAAAAAAAATCAAAGTTAACAGCTAATTTACACAAATAATTAATTAAAAGATATACAGAAGGGAAAAGAAAAGGAAATAGTCGATGAGAGATACCAACATTATCTAATATCTTCGTCATTTATCAGTAAATAGTTCCATCTATTCACAAAAATATAATAATAAACATTAAGAGAAAATGAAAAAAAAGTGAATCTTTACACAAACAGAAAATATCTAAATATAAAGAAAAACACGTTAAATTGTTTTCAAAAAAATTATTATCACAAACCAGATGTAGTCGTGTTTCGCAATCACTTGAATTTATAGCAGCAACAGCAGCCATAAATTCTGAAAAATTAATTTTGTCACTTTTGTCTTTACAGATTGTCGGCAAAGTGTACCAGATCCGTTTTCGATGCCATTTTAACTGATGCTTCAGGAAGAATTAATGTAGGCGATATTTTTTCCAAATCGAATTCATAATTATTTGGATAAAGATACATGTTATCATAATCAATATTTGTTATTTTTCTCATTCGTCCAATTACTGTTTCTCCATTTTGGTTGATAACATCTTTCTATGCATCTGCAGGTAATTGAGGGTGTGCGTGTGGGTGTGTCTTCTTTGGGCGCACTCACACTCACACCTTCAAGATGCTTTTTCTCTTAAAAAATAAATTTTCTTAAAATAATTTTTATTTCTATAAATTGTATTCATGTTCATTCATCTTCATCCTGTGTCTTTCAATAAACAAGAAAATAAAAAAAATAAAAAAGATTTCATCAGAAATATTTTTCTTTTCGAAGAGAAATCTAATAAAAAAATTATTTATCTACATCTAAAGTAGTGGCGTAACCAGGAATTTAAGGGTGATGGGGCTCAGCCCCAAAATCAGAAATGGACAACTCAGTTCGAAAAATGACGAACTCAATTTAACTCAATTCCATTCATTAATCTAGTGGAATTGAATTGAGTACAAGTTTTTACTATGACTGAATTGAATTGAACTGAGTTGAATTCTAGAAAATTCTTAGTGAACGCGAATTGCGTTAAATTGAATTCAAAAGTTTTTTCACGAATTGAATTGAATTAATTCACTTTTTTCTGCTGAGTTGCCCAGCTCTGCCCAAAACTGTCTAGTCATTTGGATTTTTTGATTGTCAAGTTTAGTAACTAAAAAAGCTTATCAGCGCAGCCCCGTTGGGGCTAAAAATGTGGAGCTCACGTATGTTCGCATCAAAATATCTGATCATGTTTAAGCGCTTTGTCTTCTTTTTTTGCTCAAATTTAGTTAATTTATGGCTATTTTTAACTATTTTTGCTTATTTTTATTAAAATTCTACTAATTTATAGCTGTATTTAACCATTTTGCTTATATTTTATAGACAATCCCGCAATTTACAGTTATTTTTAACGCTTTTTCAGTATTTTTATTAAAATTTTAGCAATTTATAGCTATTTTTTATGATTTTTGCGTATTTTTATTGAATTTGGGGGGGGGGGGAGGGGAGGGGAGCTGAGAAGCTTGAACCTAAAACTTACACTCACGATTTTCTTGGAAAATTTACTTGAGTTCCACAAAATCCGGGTGATGGGGCTTAAACACTCGGTGGTGGGGCTAAGCCCCATCTGGCCCCCCCCTGGTTACGCCACTAATCTAAAGGTGTTTCCCTTAATTTACATGGTTTTTTTGTAAATGTGAAAAATATTTTATTTCAGTTTTCTATAAAATTAAGTTTTTTCTAATTCAATTTTCTTTCAAATTCTTTTAATTTGATTCATTCAATAAAAACTCTATCCGAATTATTTTATTCATTTTGACTTTTCAGTTTAAAATTTAAATTAGCAAATATCTATTTACTATTTTTTTCTAAAAATAAAAAGCAAATTTATTTATCATATTAATAGAAACTTTTTAATTTATTTTTGTTGAAGATTTTTCATCAACTGAGTCTTCTTATTTATTTTGCAATAACAAAAAAGGAAACTTTAACAAATTAAATAACAATTTTTAATTTTAAAGTTTTTCATATTTTTGGACTCGATTATTGTATGAGTCAGCAACATATAAACTTCCTTCGTTGTCAAATGCCAAACTCGTAGGTGTATTCAATTGAATTGATTGTTGGTGTGGGTGTGGATGTTTAATATCATTACACGTACACCTAATTATGCTGACAAAACAAATTGTCAGCAAAATGTAAGTAAATTGCAATTGCAGGCAAAAAGTACCTGTCGGCAAAATCACGTCGACAAACTGATTGTCGGCAAAGTGTACCAGATCCAAAATAATAAATACACAATATGGTAAATGAATTTCTTGTTCTTGTAGCCATTATTTATGTTTAACAGATGTTTAAATGAAACATAACGTTGACCAAATATTACATTGAATTGTAAATTAATAAGATCACCCTTAAATAAAGTCATTTAGTAAGACATTATTTTACAAAATTGAGCTTACTTTAGTTATATCACATAGCTTATCATTGCTGATGCTGTTGGATGTACATAAGTGAAGTTGTCAGCGATTCGCCTATGACGCGTTCCAATGCTTGTTCTAAGTACAACTCAACTAGTTCTATAGAATGGTGTGCTCAGGTTTTTCGTAACTCAAAATAAATGTTTTGGTCGACGGATGGCGCCACCAAGATCGAAAACATTTTTACTTTGAGCTACGAAAAATCTGAGCACACCATTCGGTAGCGATCGTCGAGTTGCACTTGGAATTCGTCTGGAACACATCATAGACGAATCGCCGGTGGAAACATTCGAATCGGCTGGTTACTTCACTTACGTGTTGGATGTATACCTATAAAAAAAATATTATCAGAATAAGGGATGGAAAACTTTTCTTTCTAACTTAAAATAAATCTTGAGCTTTACTCGAACCACAATAATTAATTCATTATCATATACAACAATAAAACAACAGTGTGGGTGCCCTTTGCTTATTTAAAATGGACCGCCGTCCACACCCATACTCACCCTCAAGCTTGTACACTATTATTCTCATGTTCATTTATTTATCGAAACTCATTTTATTGATTTTTTATTTAATAGAGATGAATAATAGTTAAAATACTTACTTGAATTTTGTGGTTCATCAGCATCACTGATTTCTTTCAAATGGATAATACATAGTCCACCCGGATGAACTAATGGATCAGACATAATTTTAAATTTTGTTCCTGACATTAAAATCACTTGTTCGTCTTTTGAATCACATGCATATTGTGAAATTGATTTTCCGTTTGAACACTCGATTACAAATAATGTGTTCCGAAAATAATGCTGTATTAATGAAGAAATATTGTTTATGGATTTAGAACATGAACTAAATGCACAAAGAACAAACAGATAAACATTCTTGTTTACATAGAAAGATGTTCGCTTCCGTATCCCACGCTCATTCTCAGCATGAAAAAATGCCAATAGAAAGTGGATAGTCTCAGGATCGTAGCAAATTCTCTACATTTCGGAACAATTAGTGAAAACTGCAGTTTAGCATGATCTAGTTGAAATATCACTCAAATCCTCCTCTCTTACGCACGTTGATCGCACTAACAGCCTGTCGATCTTCCCTCTAGAGCTATGGGAGTACAATAGAGATTTTGGTGACGCTAGCTATTACAGGGACCAAATAGATAGCAAACAAGCATTCTTTTTTTTATATAGTAACCTAATAGTTTTCACAATTCTCTCGAAATTAAAGGTTAATCAAAGATCTTTGTTTGCTCATGAAGAAAGAATAAAATTAACTTACTGGATGCTCCTTGATTTGATGGTTTTGGCGTGACACGAAGATTGTTTTTCAGGTCGAATAATCCGGCTCGGAAACAGCAGTTTCTATGGTATTGTGGAGATTTCATGAAAACAATGTTCCCGTTGAACGGATGCGGTCATCGGAAGCAATTCCAAGGTCGAATTCTTGGCATTTTCCGACAGAATTCCTGACAAAAACGGTCGCTTTCCTCGGGGATTTCGTCGGAAATTTATGGAATCCTGCTTCAGGAACCATCGTCCTGGGTATAACATCTATATTATATTATAACTATAATATAGCAGACCATGTGTGATTGGTATATATATATTATATTTTACGTTTTATATTTATTTTTCTATTCAAGGTACCAAAGAAGAACGCAAGAAAAGAAAATACTTTCTTTATTTATGGTTTATATGAATAGAATTGGAAAGCAAACAATTTAACTTTTGTGAAACACGATTTGAAACGAGCGTCTAAATGTTAAGAGAGAGAAATTTGGACCCACGTTCCGCATAGACGCGATCGACAAGACATCACAGACGTGACTCATACATGTTCTTTTGACCTCGTCACAGACATGTCCAAATAGGGTATCATAGTTTGTTGCAATTGTTATAAGATAATATAAATCAATCTTTCTGTTTCTTGTTTTGTTAACTTTAAACGAATCATACAGATACAAAAAAAAATATTAATAATAGCAATAACAACAACAACAGCAGCAATCAAAGAAAAAAATTGATACACGCTCGCCTATGCATTGTACAAAATATATGGAAAAGAAAAAAAAAAGAAACTAATAATAAATAATTATCATTGTCTTTTTTTTGTTTTTTGATTAGTATTTTTCCAACCACGAGGTGCTTCATCATCACCAAAACTTTCATCATCAGAATCAGCTTCACGTCGTTTACCTAATATGAGATCACGCAACTTTTGACTACTTGATGAATCTGAATCATAATCATAGCCTTCATCATCATTTTGTTTATCTATTGTTGTAGTTGGAGTTGCTGTTGTTGTTGTTGTTGCTGCTGCAGTTGTTATTGGAGAAAATGATGATGTTCGTTGTTGTTTTTTTGGACGAGCTTGTACATCGTTTGAATCATCATCATCATCATCTTCGTCTTCATCATCGTTACAAAAATCATTAACTTCTTTTTCCATATCAGATAATTCATCAACACTCATGCTGAAATTGTATTGTCTTGCTGTTTCTGCTGCTGCTGCTCCTGCTGTTGTTGTTGCTGTTTGTTCATCTTCTTCAATTATATCACTAGGCATATCACTAGTTGATGGCAGTTCAGGAGTACGAGCACGTTTTAGGGATGATTTTGAAGATTTACTGACTGTTGAACTTGAAACTTGTTCATCATTAGAAGGATTTTCAGTCTTAAAGAGAAAGAAAAAGTTAATAATTTCTCATTAATATAGGTTATTACCTTTTGTTTCATTGAAGATATTCGATCATTTCCATTATTAGAATCATTATACACTATAAAATATAATTTCAAATATTTATAATTATATTTTATTTTCTATAAAAAAAAAGATTTACTCATTCTAGGTGTTTCTTTTGTAAATAATCTTGATTTTTTTACATCATAATTTGAATGTAAAATATAATTCTCTTCTGCTCTTCGTTCCCATTGTTCATAACAATCAATTAACCATTCAGGTGTAACAACATGAATATTATATTTTATAGCACTTTCAACTTTAGATGTTCGTTT